GGTAGGTGCAGACTTCATTATATATAACTAGTATTACTCTCTACTTGGAAACCCCTTCACTGACTACTACTATCCTCCTATAAATACCGAGGTCTTCTATTACATATTGGGTACTAATGCTCAATCTCAATAGCATATAGGTTTTTTAACTCAGTGTCTAAGAGGACACCATGGTTTCATTGGATTTTGATTATGCTAATAATCCGAAACGCCGCGAATCTATAGCTGCTTCAATGAGTGTATATATACTATGCTCACTTCGCCATGGTCGAGCCATTTAGTCTTAGGTAGGATCATAAATGCAAGAGCTACAATATCAAGTTTGATAGCTAAATTCATTCTTCAGCCTGAACTAGACCCAGCACGCATTATTGCAAGACAAAACATAAAACTGAATTGACATTATATTACCGAACGCTGAATTCGCTTCTACCTCAAATTTACCACTACCTTCTCATTTCTCATCCTTTAGAACCCGTGCCCACCCTGAGAAGCCCCGGGGTATCCGCCCTGGGAGCTACCCGTGGCAGGGTAGCTAGCTCCGGTGGAAGGACGACCCTCGGAATATCCAGAGCTGGGGAAGCTGCCCGTGGAGTGTCCGGAGGAAGGATAGGTGCTTCCGGACTCATGGCCTTCCGAATATCCAGATCCAGGGTAGGTGCTCGCGGAGTGACCGGTGGAAGGGAAGCTAGCGCCACTGGAAGGGCCCTGAGAAGAGCCCGAGACAGGGTAGCTGCCCGTTGAATGCTCCGACGAAGGATAGCTGGCGCCCGAAGTACCCCCAGAGAGTCCCGAACCAGGGTAGGAGGTGGTTGATTTCCCAGTGGAAGGATAGGTACCTTGGGAGGGGCCCTCGAATTGACCAGAGCTAGGATAAGTTCCTGCGGAGTGTCCGGATGAAGGGTAGGTAGCTCCAGATGAAGGGCCCTCGGAGTATCCAGTAGTGGGGTAAGAGCTTGTGGAGTGTCCAGTGCTAGGGTAGCCGTTGGTTGAGGGTCGTCCGCTCGACTGTTCACTGGGGTAGCTGCCGCCGAATGGTCCTGTTGATTCTTCACCCGGGTACACAGATCCGGAGCCAGAGCTAGGATATTGCCCACTAGTCTGGGAGTTACTAGGAGCGTATCCTCCTTTTGAAGGAACTCCAGTAGATTGGCCATAAGGGTACTCGCCACTTGTGCCCTCAGAGTGACCTCCGAAAGACGACCCGGTGGACTCACCACCAGGATACTGTCCGCTCGGAGGGTAGCCCTGAGATTGCTGACCTCCAGGGATGCCAGTAGGCTCACTGTTGGAAGGAACAGTCGAGTGGCCAGTTGGGGTGTATCCCACATAATATCCGTCTTCGTAAGCAGAGGACGTGTCAATGCTACCGGGGTCTTGGCTGCTCGGGACTGTACCCTGTGAGGGCGGGCCTCCAGAAAGACCGCCACTAGGTGGAGCGCCTTCGCTTTGTCCGTATGACGGGAAACCCTGGGAAGATTGGCTTTGAGGTCTTCCAGCGCCAGCAACTGGCCCGGCCGGAGCGCTCACTGAGGTTGCCGTCGGCCTGGAAGCAGCCCCATTGGCTGGCGGAGCATTGATAGAAAAGGGTCCATGGACTTGTTGGTCAGGGAAGGGAGTTGCGACAGGCCGTGAGATTCCGTGGAAAGCCCCCGACGGGACGCTAGAAGGGGTGCCCGAAGGAGTGGCTATGCTGCTGCTGCCAGGAGCTTGTTCCTTGGTCCCGTGGGAACCAACAGTGAAGGGGAACCCGCTCCCAAAAGGACTGGCGGGCCATTGGGGCTGGCCACTCGGAATAGCAGCCCGTTTAGCATTCGGGTTGTGGACAGGAACAGCGAGAATAGAGCTGCAGAACGACAGAATGATTGCCGCTGTTTGGGCCTTCATGATGATTCAGGCTTATTGAGGATTGCTCTGAATAATTCGAAGACAGACTAAGCCAGGCATGAAACTAGGGGAGTGACAAGCGATGAAGGGCAAAAACAAGGGTTGATTGGGGTGTGAACGAGAACTGCATAAGTGAAGACTAGAGTGAACAAGCCCTGGTTTATATACCATAAAAGCCCACTTGATCACGAAACATGATATGCTGATGAGGCATAGCGAATGAAATGCCTAGACTAAGCCAGCACACATAGCTAAACCATGGATCGCTGCATTCATCTGGCAAACCATATTCGTAACCAATTCTTTAGTGAGAGAAGCCATGCTGTGTATTTGCACCATCGCGCAATTGTGGGAACATGGCGATTGTTGGCATCCCCTTCATTGTTTTTACCGGCTTTTGGGCTTTTCCTAATAATGCTTGCAAGGGTGAGGAATCTCCAAAATTAGTTGATGTAGCACAATTTCCTCCCATGGGTGTGATGGGCTCCCAAGGAATGTGAGCACGAAGGGACGCGTAGCGGGTAAAAGGGCCTCAATTCGCCGTTAGGTGACACTTCTCAGACGCGAATTGCTTGAACCAAGGCCCAGCTTCACGGGAAGCATACCGATGAATGCGAGGGGGGTGTAGGACCAGGGATAGTATCGCGCGCGTCCTCGTGGTGGCACATCCCTAGATTCCTGCGCAAATGCATCCAAGAACGTGTCAGATCGTGACCCCTTGATCCCTGCCCCTCGGCTGCCCCACAGCCTGTCTCGATTAAACATGGGGAATATCGCCGAGTTAAAGTTGTATATAAAGCAGGAGCCGCGCAGCTTGAGTTAATTTCATACTGTGCTTGCACTCCTGTTGTTGTGAGCAGCATTTTTCCCATCTTCAATACGACATACGGGCAACCTTAATGCGTAGAAACTGATAAAAGTATAACAGCATTGTCGAAGAAGGCCTGGAACAGTGTATTCTGCTCTCAGTGCAAGCCTAGCCATTCTTGATAGCTGTGGCAGTGTTTATGGCGCAAACTGACTGCTTTTAATGATGAACATTGGCTGGTGCACGTCCGCATGAAGCTAAATTCAGCCTACTGCCATAATACCTCTATGGCAGACGAAAAGGTGGTTGGGCTGGTTCTCTAAATATGGGGATCAAATACTTTGGCGCCGACGAAGTCCATTTCAGCTGTCCAAAGCAGCGACACGCCAATTGCAGGGTTTGCCAACCAACCCCTACCTGCATCTGATTCGTTTCGTATGGGCGTTGGGTGGTTTCGTGTAAGTAGTCCTGAAACGAACTTGCGAGAACCCAAGCATGGTGGAGAAATTACGCACGGTCTCTTGTCCATCTAGCAAGCTGGATGCTGCCATGCCGACCAGACTGTCACTCGCTTCGGAATGGACTCTAGCCGCTTCTCTGGAAACGGCGTAGATGACTTTCAAGAGCCCTAGTCTATATCAATGGATTTATTAGCGTCAGCACACCGGCAAACTGATATGAGACCCTGCATCCGAGACGCATAAACACCGGTGTTTCGGAGCCTCTAAAGGTCCGGGGTAATGATGGGTCACAGGCTTATTGGAGTGGAGACTGCTCGGGCATGTCATCAGGATTAGACGTAAAGTCTTGGAAGATATGGTGTTCGGCCTTCGAGTGCATAAGCTCGGTACTTTTGCTAGACAAGATTTCTAGCTCCTTGATGCTAAGCACAGAAGAGCGTAAACAAGATGTACAGGATGCAGAGCTAGTTAGATGGATGCAATACACATTTTGTATGCGTCGGGTTCTTCCATTCTCCAGACGGCGCACACCCAGTCACGAAGCACCAAAAGAGACAATGTGCAGCTATTTGAAGGGGTGGCCATTCCGTCTGTTCTAGAGTTGAAACCCCAAGAAACCATATAGCATCATATTGAGCCGAGAGCTTTACTGTAATGATTAGTATCTCTGGTGCTCATATGAAGCTTTCTGACCTGGCATGCCGCCTCACTGCCATATAGTGATACCTGAATACTTTCCAAATAAGGCATTCAGTATCCCCTTATTAGAATAACATTTAACCACTGAATGTTGGATCATTTGACAGACAATTTTCATGGATTGAGATGTGTGGATCAATTGAATCTTAAATTGGAGAGGCTAAGACTGATCGATTGAGAAAACGTTGAGAGCGAAAGAGTTCCCCTGACAGGTGATGTAGCATGTGGTCACATGTCTGTTTGTCAGTTTGCTCTGTCATCAATTTAGTTGACATCTTCTTGAAGACAATTCCCCGACCCTCAATTCTCGAAAGTGTCGCTAGCCTACCTTCCATTCACCACTTACATATAGAGACTATGACGAGGGCTGCACCTCATATCGTCGAGCTTCCTTGCTCTGCATAACCCTACTGATTCTTCTCAGTACCTTAGGACTCTCTTGAGCGCCCATCATCAGCTATAATTAGCAGGTTGACACAATTGTTGGTCGTGCAGTTCTCCGATTATCCTTGATACACACGTACAAACACGCGTCCCAGACGGCCTCTAACAGGAAGCAAAATTCAATAGGCGAGTTCGTGCGTCGCCACGATATGACCTATCCAGTGCCCGCCATAGCTAGTGCGGTGTGATGTGTACGACGTGACTATCTACCTCTGTCCGTCTCCGACAGCAAAGGAGCGGGAGAACAGTAAGCGGTGTTTCCCAACTTAACATGCGCATATGCGCACGTAAAGGATAATTATCGTTGACTTTGCTCTTCCAGGGTCTAGGCTCGCACAATAACAGTCGACAGATGATCAGATGAGAAATCGAATATGCTTGTTTCACCAACAAGCAGCACCGCGTCATCGACATACAAGGTTGAGTCTAACGCCATCAAAGATACGCACCGTCATGATGTTTGGTGGCTTCCATATTATCTGGAGGGCCAACATGTTCTCGTGTCCAGATCACTATTTTTTTTTTCAGTTGGCACTAGTGAAACCTTTGCATACTATGCAGCCTGTGCTGAGTAGTTTGCAGCACTAGCGTCTCGAAACCTTCTGTAAAATGCATAGGATTCCTTCCATGACTATCCGACGGTATTGTTGCGCTTTAAGCTAATCTTTGACTGAGAACCAATCCGACGCACTATTCTGGGAGTTCCCTGCTGGTGAACAAAACGTCATAAACCCGAAAGGCGGAAAGGAGGGGTATCCTCGTTCTCCCTCGAAGGGGATAGCACGCCCTGCAACACGAGGTGCCCTATCTTTGCCGGGCGCGGATCCTCCTTTGGTCTTGGTGGACGGTTATTGAGTTTTACCATGCAGTTGCCGTCAAGATCTGCCCACTAGACGCGTCTCATGCATATCAAAACTCCTGGAGCCTCCCTGGAGAAGGAGATCGGGAGTACAGGACTGAAGGTTCGAGGAGGCGAACAGATCATCTGCAGCCCCCCTCGCATGCACGCCAGACCCTTGGCAGCAGGCGTGCCCGAAATAGACAACTTTTGGCTTTCCATCTGTTACTTGCCTTTCCCTCTTCCTATCGGCTGATATTACAGGGAAGCACAGGGGTACCAGGCAAGTAAGAAGGATCAAACGCGGCCCAAGCAGGCAGATATCGCCATGATGGACCCTTGCCATGAGGTGGCTCGTTGCGGTGTATCCTCCATCCATACATTTATAAGGCCCTCTCGACCCAGCTCATCGAACTCATCAATTCCCTCAAGCCATTAAATATCCTACGAACTGAAAACACTCGTTAGCCCTGCTATCGCTACTCTTCCATTTTAGACACGACATCCTTCGCCTTGAACAGCTTCACTCGTCGAAGATAGACCATCAAAATGCATTTCTTGAACATTGTTGTCTCGATGATGGCGTTCGCCGTTACAGCACTGGGTACATGTTCCTTTGATTTTGCATCATCTACCTTGGACTAACATCAGCATTCACAGCCATTACAATCACCCAGCCTAAGAATGGTGACCAGGTGGACTTTAGCAAGCCCTATACCATCAAGTGGACTACTGTGGCGTAAGTGAACATCGGCCCATTGACTGTCACACACAACTAATTCATTTCTTGGATTAGTTCTGACCCTACGAACTTCGACCTCATACTGGTCAACATGAACAGCCAGCCCACCGTCAGCAAGAAGATCGCCAATGTCAAGACATCGGATAGCAAATACACCGTTGACAAGGTCATCGGTATTCCAGTTGCGTATGTATCTTCAAACAGCCCAGCCGCCTTATTATGCCATATATTGTACGATCCTAACGAACGCGCATAGTGAGGGCTACCAGCTCAACGCCGAATCCAACACCACCCAGAACACCGGCATCCTGAGCCAGTCGCAGCAGTTCAATGTGACCAAGGTTGGCAAGGCTGAAACAAGTAAGGAAAATTCTATTTTATCATCATCACTATCGTCACCATCACAACCATCATCATCTTCACCATCATCATCACCATCACCATGTATCCGCCCACATACCAGCACCATCATCACAAAAACCACTTCCCGCCCCTGCATCAACCACCAGACTACTTCACCATCTAGCACCGCTCCCTCCGCCTCCACAACACCGGGTGAGTACGTACAGGATGTGAAATAGACGGGTCTCTAACCGTGTTCTCTTTACCTTACCTACAGCTTCAGCCACCACTAGCGCCACCCAGACAGCTGCTGCGTCTACCTCCTCGTCTGCCGGATCTGCCGCGTACACGGGCACGCTTCCTGGCTCCGCCGCCGTGATCGGTGCCCTCGCAATGGGCGTAATTGCCGAGATTCTGTAAGTGAAAGAAACAGGCACCTCGAAGTCGCACAAGCCGGTCAGCGAAGCGATCGATAAACCTGAATCGAACCGACCCGCACGACACGACAGCGACCCTCGTAACCTCGTTTCTCTCGAATGATCGACTCCAAGATTAGAACATGACACGCAGGCCAACCGAGCCAGCTTCATGTTTCAGCGATGAGTGTAGTACTATCTGCTACTCCAACTTTTCTTTTTCTCTTCTTTGCCCTTCCCCCCACACATTCTCCCTTCCCCGCTTTCCTTCCCCTTCCCCTTCCCCTCATTCCTTTCTTATTGTCTATCTTTAACGTCCTTCCACGAGTGATGTGATATTGGTACATTATTGGTTTCCCTTGATACATAGTTTAAATGCGCAGATGGAAATGGATTTATGGCACTGTTACACCTTCTCTCGTTCTCCACAATCATTTAATACAACATTTCAACCATGCGTTTTATCTTACTTAACTTTTCTTTAATGCCGATATTGGATATGATACATCACTAGCGAGGCACTCGCGATCATGCACGTCGGCGCTGGCAAACCTAATTCCTGAACACCCTGCAAGGAGGTTCACTCTGGCAAAAGACACTATCAATTAAACTAGTTTATCTACAGTTGTCTGAACACACCTCAGCATTAACAATAAACTCCGACTAGAGACAAGCTCCATGTACCTCAACCATGCACATATTCGATACTCACATCAATATTGAACGCCTCAACCCAAAATCCAAATGGAGATGATTCCACTGGGTTTTACGAATTAGCTAGCCACAGTAGTAATCTGCTCCGTACTACTCTACTTACCGAACAGGTCATTTACATGCAGTCTGTCCCGGGGACTCCGTTGCATGCAACTAAGTAGTACTCAGGTAACTACTAATCCGGGGCCACTCAGTCCCACTATATAGTACTAGAGAGTAAGTACTACTATTCCATACTTAGCAGCACATACTACAGGACATATAATGCACCCAGCCCAGTTCGAAACGCAACTGAGCCCCACCCAAAGCACTACTAAATGAGTGATTAGTTTCCATACAGTACCTTCTACATAAATATACTTGAGTACGTGGCTGCCTAATCTCATACTAACCTCATAGTGTGATAAGCTCTGGTACTTAATGGTTGCATCTCACAGCCCAACGGGGATCATATATGCTATGTGGCTGCTGAATTTTCTTTTTAGTTGCTTCTGTTGGCTCTCAGTAAGTACTTTAACAAGGAATGTCTCTTTTACTGTACTTTGTACATGATGGGGCCATATGTGTCATGTGTATCTTAGTTTAATGACCAGTATAGAGCCAGCCAGTGTGACTGTAACATCAACCAAGTAACTACTACTACTGCTGCTGCTGCTGCTGCTTACTTACTTGACTGGGACAAGTCGGTTCAGTCCGATATTTGCGAAACACTGCACAGTAATTACAGTATTACGAGTAAGTTAAGTAGTATGTGGCTGGTAACTAGCTAGGTCGATTGGATAGATCTTATGCATTGCAGCGAGTACTACGGTGTACTGCTACTGTTTCGTCAATGACACATGTCCAGGTAATCAAACGAGACCATGATACTACCGGTTAGGTTTAGAATTATGGGTATATTTCCTAATTCGATAATTGTTTACATACATATTTACAGAGCAGCTACAATATTGTGAACTACTTTGATAGATGGGCCGATCCTGGGGCGATAGTTATGTTCACAGTGATCCCATCATCGAGTCAGCACGACCGGACCCGGTGGCACTGGCACTGATCGCAGGCGAATAACTGTAGTTGTCGTTGATGCCTTCTCGGGGACGATCCCAGGTGCGAATGTGGCCTGGTTGATATGAAGAAAAAGCCGTTAGCAATCTTCTGACGGTTAAATTAAATCTAGGAAGAGATTCGGGCTGCGAAATACCTTCGAGTGAAGATGTCATGATGGAGTCTTCTTGGAAGCCTAGCCAGCAGATAGGGTCTTCACCAACGATTTTGGACTGCGCGAGTAAGTTAGCCTTTCTGAGAATTGCGAAATATACTCAAGGAGGTGATAGCTACCATGATCGGTGGTAAGAGGGCGGTTCGTGCTCTGGGTTCCACCGGATGACGAACGGTCGGATCATAACTATTATAGGTATCTGCGGTCTCCTGAGAATCGGATCGCGTTCGGTTTCCTCCGCTATCGGCTCGGTGACGGTTGAGGTGTTGCGTGTTCGAGACGATCATGCTGGTGCGTTGGCGGGCGTTGGCTTGATGCTGTTTCATGGGTTAGAACACTAGGAATCCGTGTCTATTGTTGGTAAACGTACTACTCTCGGCCGGTGCAGCATGCCCACGCTGAAATCCCATAGCAGCAACCGACAATCGTCACCAACGCTACCAAACCTGTAAGTACGGTCGTCGCAGCGCCATGGGTCAAAAGCTACCGCAGAGACCCAGGAGTTGTGGCCCTGGCAACGTGCGACAATCTTGCGCTCTGGTAACGACCAGATCGTAACAAGATCGTCTTGGCCTCCGGTTACTATGTATTTTCCGTCCGGCGACCAGCAGACGCATATTAACCCTCCGTAGTAGCTGCGGAAAATATCCAGAACCCTAGCAAGACGTTAGCCCACGCTTTCCTATACCGACAAGGTGGCAAGATTGTGGTCGCAGCATACTCTTCCTTCAAGTAATCCATAACTCGTAACGATCCATCCTCCAAGACAACAGCCAGGTGTCTGCGGTCCGGCGAGAAGGCGAATTGCGTGATTTTCTGGTTGGCGAGTTTCCACAGCGCAACCGGATTGGTCTTTTGATTTCTCGAGTTGACCGACTTCAAGATTTGCAGTGGTTGCCGCCCCGACGACGACTTCATCGTTTCAGCCGACGGACTGCCCAGTTCTGGTGTGAAAAGAGCGTCTTCTTTCTCCTTGTCGTATACCACCAGCTGTCCGTTCGCATGAGCAGCCATGAACAGATTCTCTGAACCAGGAATCCATTTGATATGCGTCACAGGAGAATTGTTGACGACTCCGTTCTTGTTGATACGTGCGTACTTCTGAGACATCGGCTCATACCATATAATGTCTCCAGCCGAGGAACCCATGACAACATCTATGTGTGATGTGCTCTTGGTTAGCTCGTTGATATCATGGCTTATCATGTGCGCTTTGGTGAACAGTATCTTGGTGACGGGCTCTTCCTTCTGCTTAGCACTGAGGTCCAGCCACTGGAAGGCACGATTGATGTTTGCAAAGGCAAAAAGACCATCCGGATTCCGATCGTTCAATCGCTTGGTTGCCGTCTCATGCGTAATGACCCGCGAGACGAATGACGAGCTGCTCTTTATGATATTGTTCTTCGGTTTCCTCCTCTTCAATCCTTCCTTCACAGGTGGTGCTGCTAGAGCTGGATTGCCATCTCCAAATAAAGATGCTGCGCCTGTGCCATCCACGGAGGGTGTGGGGGTCTTGAGCCGGCTACCGATGCTAACCAGCGAGAGCTTGACACCTGATGTCGGAGGCGCCGGAACGGTCGCAAGTGGATTGGGATTCATGACGGGGGCTTCGGAGGGATGTGGAGGAGGAGTGGCTAAGTGTAGGTCATCTCGGAGGAGGTAAGTGCCTATCGTAAAGTCCGTCAATCAGCAAATCCAAGCGACCTTGCAGCGACGTGCGTGAGCGAACACGCGCTCCTTCAGAAACACACCTTCTCCGGCTTGTAAGGGACAGCCACCCTCAGGATGGCTGATGATATTGTTGGTCTCTACAACTGGCACCGCCATGCCATTCGACGCCCCGGCCGCATAGGCGACGGGGACGGTATAGCGAGGCGGAGGTGGGGGAAGGACGCTGGATCAAGGGGTCAGCCAGGTGAAGAGACGCAAAAGAGTCGTCATAATAAATGTAGATAGGGCTGAAAGGTAGTGGCGCTCTTTGACCTCCAGGGAATTGAAGGCCGACCTATGATGCGCCCACGAGGCGGAGATAAGGGACCAAGGACGCTGATAACCGGGCTTTCAGCTTTGGGTGAGGAGGGCAAGTCTTACAACATGGCTGCGGATACCACCAGCAGGCACACCGGTCAATCAGCGATAAATTAAAAGGATTTTGGAGGGTGGTGTGACAGGGGCCTAGGAATGCGCGATAGGCTTGTCAGACAATCGTCGTAGCGAATTCCCTTCCCCCCCAAGAGCGGCACCCTTGACGGTGCCACTCAGGGTGGCTTGTAACGTTTCTAGGTTGTGAGAGGACTGGTCCGGATGGTGGAAGGGCTGGAAGCAGGTCGTCGTTGTCGTTCGTGCAAGGGAGAGAGCGCGGGACCGAGGCTCTCGAATGGGGCGAACGCTCTGCTGGCTAGTAGGACGAGGGAGATGATCGGGGGCGGAGATTCGCGGGAAAGTCACTTGTGAACTCGCGGAAGCTGAATATTGATGGGTTATATACCCCGGAGTTGAAGATGGAGAGGAGAGAGAGAGAGGCGGGGAGAGTCTCCGGGTAAGAACTTGCGCAATGGCCTTATAACCTGGGGGGGATCGAGCGACGGGGGATTTGAAGCCAGAGAGAAGAGCGAGCGGGCGGCCATTTCCGGGGTTGGTCGAAGTTGGCGCGTGGGGCCGCCAATCTGCCAGGCTTCAGTCAATCCTCTTCTTTCCCCCAATGCTAACGGCGCCAGAAACCCACACTAGTCCTCATAGCCCAAAGTCAATCACTCTTGCGTCGTGCCGCCCCGGTTCTATGGGGACTAATCTACTCTCGTGGCCGACATGGCAGGTTGAAATGAACGAGTGGATCATCAGCCGTATTTAGGCCGTTCATTATGCATCATACTTTATTACTTCGTACTAGTCGGTTAACTGGCGATACTTTGCCGGCAAACACACTGACAACCCAATATACAGACTCAAGGGTATCTATTTGACTCCACAGGAATACGACAGTAGTGTTCGCCCCGTCACACTCCGCTTCCACTAACTCTCCGCCAAATCATGACGGCCGCCGCTCCAGCGCAAACCACTGCCCCAAGAGCAATTCCCCATGCCATCCATTTGCCTTCCACATCTTCCTCGCTCCGCGGGAAGGCCGTACTAGGCTCCATTGCCGCTTCTGCAATGTGGACAAATACCTCCTGGATGGAGCTCCAAGTGGCACTGACATGAAGAGGAGGACTCGGCATATTCAACATAGCAGTGTATTCGTGGGGCTGATATTCGGCCCGCTGAGTAGTCCGATCCAAGTCTGCCTTGAGTGCAATAAAAACACTGGGAAGCTCCTCCAAGTGAGGATATTTGGCGCGCAGCGCTGGGATGTATGCAAAGGAATCGGGATCTGACGAGTCATACGTGTACACGATGACATCGCACTGGTCCAGCAGTTTTACCTGATTCTCGAGGAGGGCAGGCTCCAGTTCCCCGAGCTCATCGAGGATGAGGTAGCACTGTTTCCCTCCCGGAAGCTCAACTGTGTTCACAGCAGTTCGGGGCTGGATCGTGGGGCGATAAGTAGTACTGAATCCACGGGAAAGAAAAGCGTCAAGGAGTGCAGATTTGCCTGAGCCTGCAGCCCCAAGGACGTGACCAAGAACAACATTGCGGCCCACACGGCCAGGACGCTTGCGTCTCTTTCGTGGTCGCGTAACCTTCAGCGCTGCTGTTGTAGAAGGATTGCTCCGGTCGGACGACTCGAAACCCAGGTAGGCCAGATACTCCAATGTTGTCTTCGGCGACGTGAAAGTAGTCATACTCCATTGCGCAAGCCATCCTTGAAGTGTGACATGGCCAGCTTCGTTGCGGACGGTGGAGGAGGGGAAGGAACCGTCCGCCCATGAAGCAGGCAATCCCGGTGTGGGCGCAAAGAGCGACGCCAGCTCCGCATCATTCAGGCCTCCGTCGTTATCCTTGTCCGAGAGTAGGAAGAGGTTCACAAAGAATCGATATCCCTCTGGCGAAAGCTCAGCCGACGCATAAGGTGGTACGTCAAATCTCGGGTGAAGGAAGTTCTCCTGTAGTGATAAATTATCCGTATATTGGAATGCTCGTAGTATAATCCAAACAGTCTCGTGACGGCCTTTTTCCGCATACATCTTGTTCAGCTGCAGGAAACCGCGGCAATCGATGCCTGAGGGTGTCACTGAATGAGGATGCGTCCTCTGTATGGTCTCCTTGATGTGAATCAAATCTTCCTCACTCAATGGCTTCTCAAAGCATCTCATTTGAAAGTCCTTGATCTCCTTATCAGAGAGGTAACCATCCCTATCCTTATCGCAGAGGTAGAAAATTCGCTGCAACGCCGCGATTGCTGCCGGCTTCAGGGAGGATTCTTTGGAGTCAAACAGCGGTGCGATCGGATGGGTAACCGCTTTCTGGCAGAGGAAGAAGGCTTCGTTGACATTCCGATGTTCACGGGCACTGGTGCGGATGCAAGAGTCGATTTCCTTGAACTCCGCCATCAATGGCAGCATTTCCTCCTCAATGACCTGGGCCTCGGTGTGATCTGCAGCAAGATCGGACTTGTTCGCACATAGTACCACGGGGACATTGACCCCTAGAGAACGAAAGTATGGTAACCAGAACAGAGCGACTCTCTCATAGCTGTAATGGTCCGAATACACGAGTAGGATTACATTGGACTTCCGGATCTCCCTGGCCAGATTATTGCGCTCCTGCGGAAGAGCGGAGGTGTCCACCACCGTCGTTGTCGTGACATTCTCGGGGGTACCGATCGTAGGAGGGATGGTGATTTGAGGTAGGATAGGCTGGATCTTGTTTGTAACGAATACCCCCTTCACAAGGGAGGTGATGAGACTGGACTTGCCAGTGCCCTCATCACCACAGACACAGATTCGCACTGAGGTGCTGTTAGTAAGTAGATGAGTGAGCAGCTCAACGTAAACATATCGAACCTGTAGCCATTGTGGATCTGGAAACTTTCAAGGCGACTGGGGACGCCTTAATCAAATTATTGGGGCATGCTTCAGAAAGCTTTTGTTAATAACAAGGTCAACCCGATTTGAAAGTCCAGGCCAATCGAAACGCGATGTCACTAAGGACTCGGTCGGCTGGGAACTACGATGATCGTCGGAGCCTCGGCGGTGGCTGTGCCGTTCTTGCGGCCTCAGGTTCCAGCCGGTCGGGTTTCTTACTATAGGTGTGGCTGGACTAGTAGATACTGGGGATGAAACAAAGCAGGTACCTAGTAATAGCGGGTGGGATAGGGGAGTGCTTCTGAAATGGCTTCGAGTATACTACTTCAAGCTGATTGACCTGGAGAGTTACCAAGACAAGACCGAGGGAAGAAGCTGGTAGAAGCGGCCCCAGCCACACTTCCCCCCCGTATTCATTGATGCCGCCTGCGGAAAGTCCCCTCTCCGAGTGAGTACAGCCCCCTCGATTCCCACGGTTGCTGACCTTCCCCATGAATCAGATGAGTATATTATTCATCGCACAGGAACATTTTGAGAGAGCGATTTGCACAGTCACCGAACAGTACAGGGTCGTTGTGGATGGTGCAGAATTTAGATAATTGAGCCTTATCGTTTGCGAATCGCAGTTGGTGTCAGCCGTCATCTGGTTCCACTTCCGGTCGCTCCCATAGAGACGAACAGCCTTCGCAGAACATCCTACTATCAACATCCTTCTCTCTCTCCTTCCACTCCTTCTTTCCTACCCCCTCTTCTTCCATAACCCTCCCTTCACCCTCAGTTTCCGTCAAGCATAGCCAGGATGCCTCTCGGAATTCACAATCCGTTACCTTCATCGTTAGGAAGTATGTTCCGCGCCGCTTTCGTTCCAATTTCCCCGCAATTCTCTTGAACAGGTGGTTCGGCCTGCGACTAACAACCAGACAGGCGAATGTAGAAAGGCGGGCAAAATCCTCGCCTCGTTTGTCGATCCACGACAAGCTTTTGGACCCGATAAAGTGATTCCTCCGGAGATCCTGGCAGGAGCCAAGGTAATTAGCAAAATCCATACCCAGCTTGTTGCTCAAAAGTCGCACCGTCACTCACGGTTTCTTCCCTAGGGTCTCGCCGTTCTTACTGTCCTGAAAGCTGGATTTTTGGGCTCAGCTCGATTCGGTTCTGGTGTCGTTGTCGCTCGACTAGCTGACGGAACCTGGTCTGCTCCGTCGGCCATTGCCACTGCTGGAGCTGGATTTGGAGGCCAGATCGGGTTTGAGTTAACCGACTTCGTGTTCATTTTGAATGATGCCGCTGCCGTTCGGACGTTCTCGCAGGTCGGAACCCTGACGCTAGGTGGAAACGTTTCGATCGCTGCTGGACCGGTCGGACGAAACGCGGAAGCTGCTGGCGCGGCTAGCACAAAGGGTGTGGCGGCAGTGTTCTCATACTCCAAGACCAAGGGTCTCTTTGCCGGTGTCAGTCTGGAGGGAAGCATGCTGGTGGAACGTAAGGATGCGAACGAGAAGATGTACAACAGCCGGGTCTCGGCACGCCAGCTCCTCAGCGGAACCATTCGACCTCCCCCGGGCGCGGACCCTCTCCTGACGGTGTTGAACTCGCGTGCGTTCTATGGCAATGCCCGGAATGGTAGTGACATGTACAACGACATCCCCGTTTATGATGACAGCCATGACGATGTGGTTTGGGAGGGCCGCAGGGGCGAGGCGTATGGCGAAGGAACGCGGCGCGACCGCACTGGGTTCAGTGGCTCAGGTTCAGATGACTTCCGCGACCGACCCCGCCGTGCGAATACGTGGGCGGACGATATATACGATCGACCTGCTGGAGGGCTGAGCCGTTCGTCGACTACTCGGTACAGCGGTCGCAACGACACTTACGACTCATTCAACCGCAGCCGGAGCAATACTACCCCAATCGATGAGGACTATGTATATTCTGACCGGAAGCCTAGCCGACCCACAGCTCCGAAACCCGTGTTTGGACAGCGGACTGGGGCAGCTCCTACTCTACGCCAGGACCAGGCCGTAGCACTTTATACTTTCGATGCGGACCAGGAAGGTGACCTGGGTTTTAAGAAGGGAGACATTATCACCATCCTCAAGAGGACTGACAAGAAAGAGGACTGGTGGACCGGGCGGATCGGGGGCCGAGTTGGCATTTTCCCAAGGTAAGCAGACCTGGAATTCGCAGAAACCGTGTTTTCCTCGGCCATGGGAACTAACCATTACTATTCAGTAACTATGTCGAAACTGCTTAGGAGTCGGCGTGTCCTAGTTGGACTCACTCGGAATGATATTTGACGACGCGAGCACCCTTAACGCCATGTTCCTCCTTCACGAATGCTTTTTATGTTCCTCTTCCCGTTTGATACTCAGCTTCCATGTCATCGTTTAAGACTCACCCCCTTTAGTTTTTGTTCCCCAAGATTCTCTTTGCTTTTTCCTTTCGGCTTTTTGAGTATAAGCGCCGGAGTTGCCTGTTGGGCCGACCAGCGGATTCGGGGTGGCTTTTGAACGGATAAGTGACAAATCGGGACAGTTGCACCTGTGTATGTGTTCGCTTTGGCGATGGTTCTAGCTTTAGTATATGGCTTGTGTGATAGTGTTGGACCACCTTTGGGTTATACATAAGACTTCCCCCATGCTGTTTTGTTCTTTTTTGGGACTGCAGGTTTATAACTGTCAAAAATGGAATATTCCCTCTTTGTTGCTGCGCCAAGGATGGATTGGTTGGACACGTTTTAGATGATTGCAGCTGCTTCTTGGCCGATATGCTTCTCCCTTGCGAGGAAGGCAGGATTAGTGAGAATAAAGAAACGGGTGGCTGCCGTCAGAAAGGTCCGAGGAGCGTCAAGGAGTCGTCAGCAGTCAAGCTCCCAGCGACGTTCAAGTTCCTTGCTCATCGCATTGCAGTAGAAGCGGTCGGTACATTCCTCGGGAGACTCTCCTGCACCAAGTTGAACTCAACCGGGACCCATCCTTCTGGGCCATTGGACCTCGTGGAGCCAGCCCCTCCGCAACATCCTCGAAGTCATCGGATGAGGCCCGCTCGGCCAATAGAGGTCAGGAACACAAGGCACGAGACTCGCGCCGGGTCTCACGCGAGAAGGCAGAGAAGCAGTGCAATTGCAAATTGAGTCCATCGTGCGACAGACTTGTTCCTTCTCTACAGTCTTCTGGAAGAACAGCGGCATGCCATTCTCATGCCAGATAATCTCACTCATTTCCTAATACGAGGACGAGGCTATGGAAGGAAGATGGATACGTCAGCTGAGATTCTGAGTTGAAGATTACGAAATGACTCAGGCGATCATTTGTAGGTAAGTTAGACAGCAGGCATATGGGGAACCGCACAAGGTTTTGCAGCTGGTGAATGACGGTTTTCCCTGTCGATCTATGTATGGGATGCCGGAACAGACGCATCACCGCCATGGCGGGTTCACAACAAGATGAGCAAGACAATTTATGCATTAGACTTTCCCGACATTGCTCAGCCTTCTGAATGATGAATGGTGCTCCGAGTCCAGTGCATGGATTCTGCCGTCAAATGATAAGCTCATTGTGTTTCATTGTGCCCGTTCTATTCCCTCCCCCTCTTCTCATCTCGTGATTTGTTGTCGTCATTATTCAGTTGATTTTCAGCTTCTCCTCTTTCAACCTTTCCTTTGTCCTTCCATTGTAGTACTACTCTAAGCGTTCCGTGGTATCTCACTGCCAGTGCCTGCATTTAGGGGCGGGAGTTCACCCTAAAAGTAGTCTATAAGAACAGGGATCGACTCCGCATACGTGGGTGAGGGTAGTCTAACCAACAGTGGAGTTGAAATCCCTCCTTGTACAATCTAAAAAAAAAAAAAAATTAAAATTAAAATAAAACTCAGCTCTCGGATAGCCAGTCCACACTACCAGGTAGTTCCTCGACTCATGTTCTCCGAGCCCTAGCGAACTGAATAAGATTTGCTCCAAAGACCGTGCTACCGAGCATTGGAGTCCACCGAAAAAAAAAGCACGGGGTACTGCTGATCAGCGATCGCCCGAACGAAGAATCAAACGAACTGAACAAGGTATTTTACTAGAACCATCGAGTCACATTTCTCGAAGTGAACGGACTGTGGCCTGCCATCGAGATTGATCAGCAGTGGAGCATCGCGCTGACTAAGAGGACATATCCTGCCCAAGATCGATCCATCCGTGGAGAGAGTGAGAGAGTGAGCCTATACAATTTGCTTTCTCCTCCTGTTCACTGGCCTCGGATTCCCCGATTTAGCCGTCGATGGGTCTTCTCTTAGAATACTCTTTCGTCTAAAGTGTTTGTCTTCCTCGAACTACTTGTCAGAAACCTATTTTATTTTATTGTTTATTTTTTCCCTGTTCTTGTTCTTGCGGTGTTGTTCAAGGCCGACCACCACTTCCAAACTGAAGCGCGGCCAGCCCAGCCCAGCCAGAACCAGCCAACCAAAGCACGGCGGCCTTCCCTCGTCTCGTCCACCTTCTCCAGGTCCTTACTCTTTCCCAGCACCGAACTACTAACTCCCAACTCTCCCATCCCATCCTCTTTCTTACGGAAGAACAACTACCGCCCACCTCAGCCTCTCGTCACTCGCTCTTCCTTTTCAAAACCCTTTTCTACCTCTTCTCTCGTTTGTATCGTCGCCAAAATCGTATCATCGGCCGCCGGATGCCTAGCCGTCATCGCCCGCCTCTCTTTCCTCTCGTCACCCTGGTGGTTGCTCCTCTCCGTCGACGCTTCTTCCCCGCTCCCATGATTCCATGACTACCTTTTCTCTGCGTTGTCTTACGGCCCTGGTGGTACATTGACCTCCTCACCACCTAGCGACTTTCCTAATCCATAGCCAACCCCGGGGCGTTTTCTTCCTGTCCGGTCCCCCGGTTAATTTGCTCTCATGCAGGTGCGTCGCTTTCTTTATGTCCGCGTTCTACCCAAAAAAATTCCCCCCCGTTGTACCCCTCGCCTACAACAACACTCTGGGAAAAGCTTAAGGCTGCTCTCGGCCTTTGGTCTATCCTTACCGAAAGGTTTACCTGGCAAGAAAGCATCTCTTGTGCGATGCGTTGTGGACCCTCCAACCCCTGTTTCAATTGTATTATTCAAGGACTGTCTCTAAACATGCCGTCGTGAGTTTCAGGCTTCACCGAGCCCCTCTGAGCCAAGCGGAGGATATGCAACGAAAAGAGGCCATGTACCTCAACTGTCGATCAGTGACCCCAGTCACCATGTCACCGAAGCCATTGGCCATATGTACGATGACGATTACGACAAGCGAGATTCTCGACGCCTCAGTTTCATATCCTCCCCGTTGAGCGAATCCATTACTATAATTCCCACAAAGCTCGCCGGCTGCGAATCTCCTACCTCCCCACAATCTCTCCAGGTTCAAAACCACAACAATGATCATAATAGTCGGCAAGCGAACGGGCAACCATGGCCGCATGGGGCCAAGTCCGCCGAAAGTAGCCCGACGTCTCCCGCATCCACCACGTCCCCCGTATCGACCGACACAGCCACAACCTCCTTCCCTTTGAACGATGTCGACTATGAATCCGACCCGGCCGCCGTAGCACAAGAGCTGAACAATCTCGCCGCCATCCGGCGGATGTCTATGGATGTTGCTGCTACGGATGACCCCGATCTCCCTAGCTTCTCCGTTCCATCTATAGCGCCCTCCCCCTCCGACGACGAAAACGATGCATCGCGATTGTTTTGGGTTCCAGCCCGTTTACATCCGGAACTTGCCCCGAAAGAGTTCAAGTCTTTCCTTGAAAGTAAAACAGAACAGATCAAGCGGAAATCAGGCGACTTTTCTACCTTGGGCCCGGAGCGTGAAGGATCAATAGGGGGCTTGAGGCGAAAGCGGTCTATGCTATCCAGGCAGATTGACACCTCTCAGGGGTATACAGATGGCGCCGAACGACTCGAACGAAAACGCTCACAATCGAAACGCGATTCGTTGGGACCCAATCTGCATGAACTAGAAACAATAGTGAACGATTCGAAGCCGCGAGTTCCCAACGCAACGAATATCCTCGATGGAATCCAGAAACTTGGCATTTCCACCGACGAGGATAAACCTATCCTTCCCCCTGCACCTCCAAGCCACAGCCTCAGACGCTCGACAAGGACACAATATAGGAAGGCCGGAAGTCTGAAGAAAGGCGAGAAGGCACCGTATTCGAAGCGCGTGGCTAGGACTTCGGACGCAGATGAGAGGGTTACTTCACCCACTGGTTCATCTGGAGGTCAAGCAGTTTTGGGGCTTACACGAATGTCTACCGACCCAACACCGAGTTCAACGCGAGCTCAAGCTGCGGCCAAATCGACGCAAGGCGCACCCCAGGCCCCTGTTGCGACAGCTAGTACAACAACAGCAAGCTCCAGTGTAGACTCAGCGGTGGAACACTCACAACCAGCCAACGACCGCTCTCATGATGCAGCTTCGTCAGATCCGTCGAACAGGGCCAGCGCGCCAGCACATTCGCGACAATGGCACTCACGGATCAGCTCCAATGGACGGTCAACGGCGGACGTTCCACCGTCAGAACAAAAGATACCTGAAATCATTGAAACGCCTCCTCCCGGGACTCCCACCACGCCTTCAACACCGACCTCACAGTCACATGCGTCCCCGAAAGCACCTGCAGGCCAAGATAGAATGCAGGAACGAAGCTCAAGTAAGCGGTCGGCACATAGTCGCACTCAGAAGGAGACCACACCCACCTTCAATGACTTCGCCAATACCCCACAGCCTCTTCCTGGAAACACCACCCGAACGGACAGCCTGTCGTACATCCCAACTTTCGAGGATCGCAAGGCTGATTCGAAAGAGAAGGAGAAGGAAACAAAAGAGTCGAAGAAGTCAAAAGACAAGAAAGATTCGGAGGGTGGCCGCAAATCCAGCTGGCACTGGCTGCTGGGTTCCGAGGATAAAGATAAAGAGAAGAAAAAGGACAAGGACAGTGACTCGAAGAAACTCAAGGCCAAGATAGTGGACAAAGTTCATGAGACAGCGCACGCCCTGCCATCCTCAAGTGATTCTAGTCAGCGAGGCCGCGAAAGCGTTGCAGTGGATCGACTGGATCCCAAACTGGAAGAGGAGCGTCGCAAGGACAATGCGCGACGGACCTCTGGGGAGTCGAAGAAAGAGAAAGAGTCTGGGTTGTTCTCCTCCATATTCGGCGGAAGTAGGAAGAAGAGCAGTGGTGACAGTAGCCATCACAGCCATCATCACAAGAAAAGCGCTTCTCGAAACCTATCACCTGATCCGCCTGTGCGTGAGCTGCGGCCGGATGTTGATTACGCTTGGACCCGCTTCTCGATTCTAGAAGAAAGAGCGATCTACCGGATGGCTCACATCAAACTTGCGAATCCTCGACGCGCGCTGTACTCTCAGGTCTTGCTCAGCAATTTCATGTACTCCTACTTGGCGAAGGTCCAGCAGATGCATCCACACATGATGTTGGCTACTTCCGCTGCGCAAAGGCAGCAGCAGAAGCAACAAGAAGAGTATCAACAATACCAAAGATATCAAGAGGTGAGTATTCCGCGAAGATGCTCTATTGCCATTGAAGATTCTAACTGTTCATCGAAACTGCAGTCTCAGGAGCAACAATATACGGATAGTTCCTACGATGATCCTCAAATGTACGAATATACGGACGATGCACAGGATCATTATGGCACCCATTCGCAAAGTAGCAAGGGTGGCTACGAGAATGGAAATGCATATGGCCCGGGACATTACCAGTATGGTCACTCGACATTTGGCGACGACGTCCAGCTTGACGATGATGACGATGATATGTGGTAATAGGGAACAGACAACTGATTCCCTCTATTGCTGTTGATTCTATTGCAGCGCACTAAATACCCCTTGTGCCAAGTCTGGTCGGTTCTCACACTCTGTACACTGATATTAGCCTTTACTTCTTGTGTCATCCTCGCATTCTTTTTACTCCCTGGTGGTGGACTCTTCATTTTTTCTATGCACAGGGCATATAGGGTATACAGAGGAAGCCATTGAAGCTCCTCTATTCTCGTTTGAACACTTGTTGTGTCAACTTATATAGTGGTCCTTTGAATATTCCACGATGGTAGGGTAGGGCCTGACATAGCTTCTCGTCTTGGGTTTCTTTGTTCGCATAGCGTGTGGGGTTTGTCGATTGTTTTTCTGTCCGGCGTCAACGATGCCTTGTTATAGAAGTCTGAACACTCTAAATGGGTCACATGTTTCTGTGACACCAGTATTTCAGTCAATCCTCGTAACCAATGTGTAATTTAATACCTTCATGATTGGTCAACTGTACTGTAGAGAAAGATAATCAGACCTCCCCCTCAACTAGACACAGTCAAGCCCCTAATCCACGCCGTATCTATTCTAGCCGTCCCAACTAGCTATACTAAAATAGCCTCGGATCCACTCGACCCGCGGCCAGCCATCGATTCAATCACGTGACATGCATCTATCTCCCCACAGCCTCCACAGCGTCATCCCGACCTGGCTTGGACGGGACCATCACCTTCTTTGCCAACATCAAAAGGAGAACGAACTCAACACAGCCCGTATCGAAGAAGCAAACTCGCCAACCGATACAACGAGATATTTCACACCATAATCAACGAAGAACGAATCAGCAGATTATTGAGTTATACGAGAAGCGACACCTGACGCAAAATGGCCGACGCCTTCGAACGTGAACAGTACGAGAACCCACCCACATTACCTTGAATATTCCTACACGAAAAGGACGGAAGGATATTCTTTGGCATGGAAATACTAATGAATGAGGGTAGACAAAACAATGCGCTCCTAAACTCTCTCTCGTCGAAGGTCTCCGCGCTGAAATCCGTTACCATTGATATCTATGATAATGCGAGGGATCAGGATACGTTGGATCATTCGGTTCGTTGACCCTTTTTACTATATGCATTTGTTTCTTTGTGGATCCTTTCTATGGGAGAAACTACGTCTGCATAGGTATGGATGAGCATGAAAAGCTAACAATATGTTTTTTTCAAATGTCTAGAACCAAGTCTTTTCCTCCCTCTCCACGAATCTGAAAGGTAGCGCGAGTCGCTTAACTCGTATGGCGCGACAAGGTGATACCGTTGCGGTGTTGAAGGTCGCTGGTATCGTGGTGACGGTTGCGGTGGCGATTTGGATTATCCTGGGGTGGATTTTCTGATTCGATTCGATTTGATACTGGAGTGGTGGGTCGGTGGTGAGCATGATACTTTTATATTGTCTACTGGCTGGCTGGGAGGGTAAGTGGTTGGGTAGGAGTTGTTATCTGGGGTATTGACTCGCGGGCGAGTTGATACTCTTATCTACTACCTGTCTGCTCACTTACCTGCATACTTATTTTATTTTCTTAATTACTTATAGGTCATATTATTATATGTTATTATATGGGAATAGGAGGCGGGTTGTTTGCGTTGTGATGTGCATAGCTTTGTGTTTTGTTTCTTGTGATTGAATAGGGTGGGCAGATGAATAGAACGAATTCGTATAGATTTGGGTAGCTTTCACATGATTTTTCTGGAGAGAATATTCTCAAGTTCTATTCATATCAGTTATAACTTGAATACTTCGGTGAATCAAGACATTCATTAAGATAATAATATCTATTGTAGTCCCTTTCTGTCTTCACTGATTAGTGGTTAGATATAAAGGGTCTGGTTCCTGGCTTCTTCTTTCTTTCTCTTTCTTAATCTCTTCCATTACTTAAGATTATGAACAAGAAGCTTTGAAGATAAGATCCATACTATCGCTCTTATATACTCTATGGTAGTCTAGGCTGGATACACCTAACAAGTTTATATATCTTCGAAGAAGTGGTTTCAATAGAAGCTATAATGCATATTTTAGACACTTTATATGTGTTGGATACGAAGAACCACTAAGGGATGTGCCAAATTAGCGAGTACCATGAAGATATCAATTATTCCAACCGTCCTGAAGCCCACAGCCATAATCCTGTTATACAGAGAAGCTTATATAACTGAGACAATCAATCAAAATGGTGACGATATCCCTACAGAAAATGGCCAGTACGGGGCGGGATATTAGCAGATATGTGTGGGCTAGGAAAGACCATCGAGATGCTGGTTCACATTCTGCGAGAAGTGCCCGAAAAGGGTCTTTACAAGCCCACCCTTATCCTCTGCCCGGCCGACAAATACCATCCAACAGGGATCTGGGGATATAAGATGCCTCTATGATTCTATACTCCATGTCTCAGAATCTGCCGCTCTTTGTTGATATAATGTAGATGACTGGATGCTAAAGCTTGGTGTTGCCGACCTTTTCCAAAGTTTCCGACTGAACGGCCGTCAATTAGGCACAAATAGTACATGATACAGAAATTTTCGATTTTGCAAGAGGGTCGGTCTTCCTTCCTTCAATGCCAGAATGTATATGATCGACTGTGGTTAGGGCTATTATGCAATCGTCAGTTTGATATGTTATTGTGGCTACAAATGCACAGAGATGTAGACTGGATTGAAATCAAAGCTCGCGATAGAGCCACGCCCATTGCTTGTTTTCTACCAGGGCAATGATAGCCACAACCAGGCTATGCTGTAACCGAATCTACTACTACTAATGAAGATGTTGAGGCAGTCTTGGGACAGACACTGCCTAAGATGCAGAGGCACAAGCATCTCTGGGCCCTATGTTACTGATGGAGGTGTTACTGATGGGGGTGTTACTGATGGGGGTGTTACTGACCTGCCCGGAGAACCGAGTGAGCCCGTGGCCAAGCCGACCCCAACCAGCATGGCCGGCAGTGAGTCGGACCTGAGCCCAGCCCCGCCATCGCCTACAGAGCCAATGCCTTCGAAGAAGCGCAAGCGGCCAGTAAAAGCATTCCGCGAGGGCACGCGTAAGAGTGCTAGACACAGGTCCTAGCCCCATAGGAAGCCAGCAGGGTGCTGATCTCTTGTGATTTAAACCAATGATTAGTACCATTAGGAATATAATTGTCTTGTCTTCCTCAGACCACGGGGTTCCCACTATCCGACTGAGATAGTCCGACTACCTGCTGTGGCTCCGGTCGACGCACGTGGCTTAGTGACATGAACTGGACTGGCACTGTCTTTTTCCTGGGTTAACTCTGCTGGTGTCGACGAGTGGATGCTATATGGCGATTATAGTTGCTTCTCTCCGACAAACGCACCTTTTCTCCTTGATTACCTGCAAAATGCGCGAGTTAACGTCGCACTCGCGGCAGCATAGCTAACCACCATCACAATATCATCCAATACCGTCTTCTGCTTGATATCCCGGCAAAACAGCGGATAGTATTGTGGCGTATCATTTGTATACGCGTTTCCATTAAGAAAGTATCAGCTGGCCACTGAGGAATCTTTCTCCAGCCATATGTCAACAATAAGAAGGAGGAGGAGGAGGAGCTCCAGAGGAAGAAAGATAAGTCACGGCCTTGGAGGCCTCAATTCTGGCTGATGAGGCAGATGACAAGTTGATGATTGAGGAAACGGGCTTCCTTCTTTTTTTTTTTTCTAACTTTTCTTCTTTCATTTTCCTTTGTTTTTTCAACGTTAAAAAAAACCAATGGCATATTTTATCGCCCTATATATCCGGCATAAAAAGGAATATACTGCGTCTTCAATCTGTCGCCTTTTCCCATAGCCAAATGTGGTTTCTAATTATCTACGAGATTGGCGTACTTGCCTGAGTTATCCCAGAGCAGATCACTAAATTCTTCAGGAAAAGGGATTTCAAGGCATCAACTGCATTCTTTGGAGAATATGGTCATGCCAGGCTATTCGGTTATTGCAGGTCTTGAGCAATGGAATCTCACACACCAGAAAAGAGCTACACATCTACGGTGAATAGAATGGTAGGTTATGATTTATATCATACTTAATATCATATGGTTCTCTATGGGGTCCGCTTGATTGGTTCGCTATGTAATGGAAATGGAACACTTGCATGTGGTGAGCGATTTATGAATTACTAGGGGTTCGATACCAATTTAGCTCTATTGTCAATTATTTTTAGAATAGTATGGTTTCTGCTTCGTAATTATTCTCGTTGGGTATGACTAGGATTTCTTGTACAGTCTTGATAAGTTAAAGACGCTGATGGTCCATGGGACACAGCACGTATACCTTACTCGTCTGGTTCTCAATGATACCACACGACGATAAGCTCCCTGTCTCCGTAGGATATGATTCGTCTGAAGCAAAAGCCGGAAATCCTGTAGATATACCTAGGCAGTAATGAATGAGAGACATGGATAAGCTTTCGTGATAGGGATGAACGCCACCGATGTCGCGTCACATCCACAGCCTCGTTTCACGAATAGATAACGGTTCCACAGCATGGTCTCTTGCTTCTAGACCCTTACAGGGCTGTTCGGTCACGAACTTTCATGACGACATAATCGATTTCCATTCTATCCAAGTGTCAAATCTCGGTCTGCGCTATATACTGACCATTAACAGCGTCTGTTCACCAGCTGGACAGTGGTACCTGCAGGGGTATGTTGCTTTTCGAGCCTAGAAGGTTGTATTTTCCCTCGGTAAGACGTCTCAGCTATCGAACGGACGAGACCCTTCCAATATTCGGATAACGGACCTCTCGATCGCAATAACAGGGCTCCCGTCATGATAGGGTAACGGTCTGATCCCGATCGTTAAATCAGCCGATCAGCTTTGATAGAATGAGCCTATAGGATATCAGCCGGCAGAGCGCCCGAATGTCTATCTGTGAGCGATGTTGTCATGTGTGTGTTCCGGTAGCAGCACGTCATACATTCAGCGTGTGAGAGCAGTGCTCTAGATGCTACAGTACATGAACTTATCGTCCCTCTAAAGGTTAGCTCACCCAAGAGCTAGATAGAGATACTGCCATATCCGAAGAGCTAGCTACGAGTATGAGGCACTGGGCGGATCAAAAACTTCGTTAGGAAAGTCGCTGGGTGAAGTGCACAATTTCATTGTCCTGATCAAGAGAACTGCGATTCAGATGGGAATCCCATCGTTTAGTGTCGATGGATGAGCGCATATCGGGTAAGGGTTCGGCAGAGGACCTGAGAATGATGCCGAAGTAACGTGGCAACGAGCTCAGGCCATAGCGACAGCAAGGGGCAGTGCTGACGATCATGTTGATACGTCACGGACACAAAGTGCCACGGACCGAGTCGATCGATTAGACCTCAGCGCATAGTCGCACAGTGTTAAGTGTTTGCTGGGATGTTGTTGACCTCGGCCTTCAAAGAAGGTTGATACCGTGTAACCATCCTTCTTTTCTTTGTTCACCCTTTCAATGCACCAGTAACCACTGGGTTGGTATTATTTGTTAGGTTGGACAGACAAAGTACGAAAGATAACTACTAGTAGTCAAGTAGCTGAGAGATTATCTAAGTGGCAGTGAAGGTCGAGACCATCATGTCAAAGTATTTAGAATGTAGATCCCGGGCAGACAGCCGGCCAATTGCAAAAGCATCTGCCGATGCATGGGTGGCTGCCACGGAGAGGGACGAGCTATTTTCCAGAGGGGAGAAATGCAAGTCCCTTAGTGCCAGGTATGACCCGATGAAATTGCCGTAGGGCCAGCAATAACTAGCTAACTACTAAGTAGTCTAGTCAGTGGTGGCAGATAAGATGATGATTGCTCGTATCGAATCATACCGGATAAGGAAGGAAGAGAGAGAGGGAGAGGGTGGGCAAAGACAGTAGCGCTACTGTTCCTGCGATTCCTGCGATCGCATAACTCGGGTAAATAGGGAAATTTACTACACGAATGGGACTCGGTTCGGGCCACGTGCCGCTCAGGACCGCCGCCCGTTGGGTCGCAACTCGCAACACTGGAGGAAAATTCTCCGTCCACCAGAAACAGAAGGCACGATCATCAGCGAATTGGCGCGAAAACTATTATCCCTCATCCAGCATCCGGTGTACACTCCTTCGTCTTTTACCGACCTCCGATGCTCTAAACCCCTTGGTCCTCTACTTTGCATCGTCTAGTATCTGCACCGTCAAGCTTTTGCTGCATTGGGATCTCATGTCCGTCCAGGCAGTCATCAGTGGGACCAGCGGCAACTTCCGCCTCGGAGATATTCACGATGAGTTGCTTTACTTCTGCTTTGCGCTCAATTCTCTCCTGATTTTCCTCCTTCATCCTCATTTCAATTTACCCCTCTTCTGCCCGCGTTTGCAGATGCTAAAAAGGACACCCGACGTACTCCGTAGCAGCCCTGAGAAACCGTGGACAAGGAGCGGGAAATAGATTCCCACTGGCCGTGGACTGACTGACAACGCAGTGAGTCCGTGCCCGTCCCTGGTTCAGCCCATGGATGTCATCCATTGGTTCATCGCTCGAGACCAACGGTCGGGAATCAGGGCCCTTGACTGGCTTGTGGCTGTTATCCGACCGGCCAATGACCACGTAAGGCCTCAGGATCTGGAAGAACAAGGCTTTTTCATTTGAGGCATTTCCGCGCTATGCTGTACCAATAATTGTTTCTTCAGGTTGTCCTGATACTGTTTACGAATCTGTCTCACTAACTTGCCACGACAATCAACGCCCCCAAGGTAGTCATTGATTGTCTTGTCACCTGTGATTCGCCAACCTTGTGCTTAATAACGGGGCAGCGGTTCGTATGACGGAGCTAAACGCCTTAGACCAAAGTACTTTCGGCAAGCCGAAGGGAATTTTCAAGACCTACGGACCACGGCATTCCGTACCTAATCTTAGCTTCCGTATCAGCCTAGAGATGGTGAAACATGGCTGGCTGCACGTTGGCGGCCGCTTGCAGCATCAATCTTGGAATTCTATCACTCAGATGCCGTTATCAAACATCATTGGTCTTGTTTTCGGGGTCTGCGTGCTCCCGCTGATGAGCCTGTGATCGAGCTGCGTCACCGTTGGAGAAGCTTTGGTGCGATTAGCCATCACCAGAGTTGTTCGATGGATCCGGCCAGCAGGGATCATCATGGAGGCTGCCTACAGAAGGCTGGGTGGTGGGAAGGGCGTTAGAACAGTCCAGCACAACCTGCAATGGCGGGCTTCGACGCCGTACTTTGAATTTTTGACAGTCGAGCCCCAAATCTGAGAGTGGGCCCAGCTCCCTATCTTGGCCCACATTATTGACTTTGCTGGCCTGGATGATGTGATCACAGGTTAGTTCTGCACATCATACCCATCTGAAAATTTGTTCTGGAACCCTGACTCACCGACTCTATCCCACTCGGATGTCCACTTCAACCCTGAAGTGTCGATACGGTTGAGTCGTCCGTCAGTTGCTCATGGGGAGTGACAACGATACAGTGGGTCTCACATTCTTTTTGGCTATCCATGATCGCCCTTGCGATAGGACGCGTGCACCTAGGTCTCGAGCGCTCTTCGTGAAATCATGGTTTGCGTCAAGAGACCTTAGCGGTGTGTCTAGGCTACTGGGGAAGTTGCGGCCCGAAAGTTCCCTTCCCTTTGGAGGGCGTCACCATTACGGCAAGAAAACTTGGTAAATTTTCCGCTACGACCGCCGTGATTAGCTACGGGTAACAATGTCCTTGTCAATCCACCCAGAGTTTTTCTTTTTCCCCCCCGACATCGACGTTTGCGGTTGGCAGGACTCGTAATCGTGGTGATGCCGCTAAGAGCCGGGTCGCGGTAGTGGCGATTATCGGAGTTATGCGACTCTCTCCGATCACATGTTGGATGGCCCCCCGGAAGTACCCGACGGCGGTGTGTGTCCCGAAGGATAAGCGGGTGCCTTGTGAACAAAGTAATCTTAGTGTGAAGGGTCACTGAGAACTTAAGGTCAGGTACCAATGGAGATCTTATTGCTGCTAGTATTGCTAATTCTAGAAGCCCTATAGACGCGGTTTCACATGGAATCATCCAGCTCGCTTGGAAGTCCTCGTGTCAGCCAGCAAAATCTC